AAGAAAGAAACTCACTCATTTCTAAATTAAGTGTGCAATCATGCATGATTCAGTCTAGAGGCTGAATATTCACTGGATTTAATAAGAATTTATTTGACCCAAATGTTGGGTCAGAAAGTTATCGTATTAAAAGTGTCACCCATCTGGGAAGATACAGCTGAAATATTATTTGGAGATGGATGAGTATTCTTTGGAGAGCAGAAAATGCATACATGTGTTTAAAAAATCTATCTTGCTACTATCTGAGTTGGGATTTCCAGCAGAGTTTATAAAGTAAAATTCTCTCAACAGTAAGGCTCACTGATTTTAACTTTTAAAAAAATACAAAGTAAAGTATGTTTCTGCTTTTTAAGCATATGAGACCTAGGACTTCATCCCTACTTCCTTTTAGTTGTTTATTCACTGAATTTCCTCTCAGATCAGTCACTTCTTATCTGTGTGAACCTTTCTCAAGTTACCTAACTTCTCTGTGCCTCTGTTTTTTTGGCTATAAAATGGGAAAGAAGAACAGTATCTCATCGTGCTTTTCTGAGAACTGCAGGGGTTTAGAACAGTGCTTGGAATAGAGTAAGTACTCTGTAAACAGTGGTGACCTTTACTTACTGAACATCTACTATGTGCCAAACAATGTAATGCAGGGCACAGAGCAGGCATAGCCATGAACAAACAACCATAAGTACATAATGTCAGGCGTGAGGAGTGCTTGAGGGAAAATAAAGCAGGGTAAGAATTAGAGAATTATGGAGATGTTATCTTTATATAGGGAGATCAGAATGCCTCTCTGATAAAGGAGTTTTGTTTTTGTTTTTTTTTTTTTTTAGTGCAGACCTAAAGAAAGTGAGAGTAAGGGATGTGGATGCTGGGGCAATAAGAACCCCAGGCAGAGAGAAGATAAAGTGCCAAGGCCCTCCTATGGAGCCTGGGGGAGGGCACTACACAGGAAGGAGGGAGGGGGTGGGTGTGGTGGTGGTGGTGGGGGCTGGAGTGGAGACCATCAGGCACAGTGAGAGCACAAGAAGTCCAAGAGGCGAGGGTGGGGACGAGAAGGGTGCCTGCCATGGAGGACCTTGTTGGTCAGGCTGGAGACTCAGGATTTTTGTCTTGCTGAGGTAGAAAGTCACTCTGGAGGGCTCTGACAGAGAAGCGACATGAGTGGGGAAAGCAGGAGCCTGCTGCACTAGTTGAAACCACAGCTGATGGTGACTTGGATAGGTTGGCAGGGGTGAACAAGTTCAATAATGCTAATACGTGTCTCCACCCTGGATTTCCCCTACAGATACTCCTTTAACTGGCATTTATTGAACACCTACTAAGTAAGGCATTGGGATGAGACATTTTATAGGGGTTATTTCTTACAGTGATGCACAGATCCTTAGATAAAATATAGTAAGATTAGGATATTAGAGCTCCAAGGAATGTTAAAAATCATCTATTCCAACTACATTATTTTGCAGCTGTGGAATTAGAAATTCAGAGAGATTGAATGATTTACCCAAGATCAAACAGTTAGATAGGCCAAGAGAATGGCCCAGGACTCAGTTTTCCTTACTGTACAAAAGAGAACTTTCAAAATTAGTGTCTTACTGACTTACAAAAATAACTTAAAGTCCCTTATTTAACTTATTTCCCTTTGCTTCTTCTGATTTAAAAATAACAGCAGCAAAACTTTTTTCAAACTTGTTCTCATTAGGTTAATATTTATGAGAATCATTTTTAAAATGAATACTTCTGAAGTTTCTAAAATAACTCTTTGCCTTAGGAAGTCTATATAAATGACTATCGCCATAATCTATTGACTGGCAGTTCTGCAAATCTATCATGGATAGAAAGACCACTGACTTTCTGTAATTACTTTAGTATGCCAATCTCTTACCAAAATAACTTCTGTAGATTAAAAACAGTATTTGTCATATTCCAGCATGGGCTCAGTCTGCCTTCGCATAATTAGCCACTGTAATAACTTCATAATACTGCCTATTCCCAAGGAAAGGAGGACATAGCATAGAGTCAGTCTTGGGACAAATAAAGGATTTAGGACAGTGAAGGACATTTTATTTCTAGAGTAAGCAGGAAATTTCATATACTTCCAACTACTCTATTTTCTTGATTTTGTATAACTCACAGACATTAAGAAAGAAAGAAAGAAATGTTACTGAGGATAATGTAGAACTTGATAGGAATGTTCTGAATTGTGTCTTCTCTGAGTAAGTGATGAGTAGATATCCTAGTATGAAATATATGCTCTTTTCTTCCCCCCAAGGCCAAGTATATCTGAATTTTGGTTCTCACCACTACACTCAACCCTCCCTCTAGCACCCTAACGCAGGACTGCCAAAAGGCTACAGCTTTCTTTTTCCCTTTGGAAAACTTGTTAAAGATTTTAAGCCCTGGAGGATCTGAAATATAACCCCGATCCAGGGAAGAACATTCTAGAAAACTGACCGGTGGGTAGTCAGGCTTGTTCCCGAGATGGGCAACAGAGTTTCTTGTAAGGTAATAAGTGTGAGAAGAGCCATTTCCCAATCATCTTGTTCATTCCATGCATATTAGGAGAGAGGAAAATTCAACTGAGGGCCAACTGTCCCCTAAGAATCCTTTAGTTTAATTATGACCACAGTAGATTAAACGTCTGTATGACATCCGTGTTAGCTCCGCCGCTCCTGCTCTTGGCCGTGAAGAAAGGAAACACTTTCACTACTAAAAAGACAGGGAAGCATGCTCTTGTGGTTCTAAAACATGGTTGAAAATTCAATTTAACTGACTACGAGGCCAGTGTGCTTCTTATAAATGAACATCTCTTTGCTGCTAATTTTGTGCTATTTTACCTTTCATTAAAAAAAGTAATTCAGGTTAAACTCAGCTGAACAGCAAAAAGCTCTTGATATTTTGAAGCATTTTGGAACAATTACTTTGACAGGAGCCCTTGACAGTTAAATGACTCCGTTAAATGAATGTTATAGAAGACACATAATGATTTTTAGTGAAATATTGAATTTAACCACAAATGAGGAAAAACCAGTCATAAGCACTATGGGTATATTTGAATAATAACATCTTGCTTATGAACCTCAATGGATTCTATAATTTCTAATAATCATGCAATCAACTAGTTAGCTGGTATGTTTCCTATCTCAGTGCTCTCAATTTAGTTTTGGTTTTTGTTGTTGTGTTTTAATCTGAGAAATCAATGTGTAAATTTTGGAAATGGCAGTAAGTTCCTCTTCCATCAGTAGGGTATTTTAGAAGTAGGCAATTAATGATTGCCATCCTGCCAGTTAAGTCTTCCTCTTTCCTTTTTTCCATTTGCTGAATGAGATTCTTTCACAAAGTAAAAAATCAGGAAAAGGCAAGAGCCTGCTGCCTGAGAATGTATGAATTCACTGGCTGCCAGTGTTTCCTCCATCCGTGGGACTCCAATATTCCTTTTCTTATTTTATGGATCGAATGTGAGATAGTATCAAGCCTTTTACCTGTTTTCTCATGACTAATGACCAAAATATGTACTGAAATAATAAAACTGGTACTGTTCAATTCCCTTTTTAAATTCAATCTCAATATAAGTGGGAGTGCCCGTGTATGGTGGTGAAATCCAGCTCATTATAAAATTCTGTTTTCTGGAGAAGAGGAACTAGAAATCCTTGCAGACTGAAAAAACCATGTGGGTGAAGGGTCTGTGGGGACATTCAGGTTGAAGAAACGAGTCGAAAAAACAGTAATGTTTTTGTCTTGTTTGTCTGGCAAAGAGTGGTGAAAAGTCAACGCCAAGCATCCTGGGTAGTATTGCCTAGATCTCTACACGCTATGTGCAGCCACACTTCTGGATTCTTTCAAGCACGTGAGTTACATGTACCCATGTACCCACTGCTGCCTGCATTCACCTTCATACAGCAACTGCCTGTTTACATCTACTCCCCAGCAGATGGTCACTCCTTCAGGACAGGAGTGTCTTTTGATCTTGCATCCCCCAACATTTCTGAGCCACGATAAGTTGCTCAATAAATGTACTTTTGAACAAGAAACGTTTAACTCCTTCAGCTGATACTGAAAATACTTGGAAAAGGCCAGATAGTTTCAATGTGTGACACTAGTCAAGTCCATACATACAGCATGCTGACTAAATTATTACTTGTAAGCATACTAACTCAGAGTGTGGTTCACAGACCAGTAGCATCACGTCACATTGGAGCTTTATAAATATGGAATCTCAGTCCCCGTGGCAGACTACCTCAATCAGATCTGCCTTATACCAAGATGCCCAGATGACTTATGCAAAGTATGAGAAGCCTTTACTTAGCATATATGACTAGTACGATGCCTGAAGAAGTGATGGTGTCCATTGTGGACAAGAACCAAGGCCACGGCAAGATGAAAACTACAGAGGTCAGCTTGAGAAACTTTTAGAGCTCTCTCAGGACAGAGGCACAGGTGGGAAACTCACTTATACCAGTTCCTTTGGAACTTTCTCGATACTCTTCACGCTTTTTCCTGTTTAAAGACACAGCTGCTCTTAATAATTGTCTTTTCTCCTTGGTGCAAAGATAGTATTTATCGCCAGCATGCTGACATTTGCAGGAGTTTTGGCTTTCTCCACTGCAAGTGTGGATGATTGAAAGGATATTGCTGACACCTGAATAAGAAATCCAATGACTCCAAGCTATGTAAATTTAATTATTTCCTTTAATTTTTTTTTTCAGGAATCTCTTTTTATTTTCCTCAGCTTTGGAGAAGTCCTAGCAATTTTCATTTAAAAGAAATACAAGTCAGCAGTGGTTCACTGAACAGGCTGACACGCAATTTCATAGGGGGAGAGGAGCTGTGTCTTTAATCTAATTTGTGCTCTCAATTCCCAGCTAATGTATCTAGGGATCCTGATGTATGCATTTACAAGGAGACATCTGTAGTGCAGAGTCCAACTCTCTGCAATTCTCTGAAACATGGGTAAAAAATTAGTCTGGGTTCTTGTAGCTGCCCTACAACACAATAAATCTTGATATACTCACAGATGTAGAAATATTCCCGGCCTGGCCTGAATTCAAATCCTAGAGAAAAGGGTGTGAAGAGCTGGAATTTTTCAGAGAACTTCAGTGGTCCATTTGGAGAGTGAGGCCGGTTACATTCCCATCTCTTGAACCCCTTGGAAGTATGGTCGCAGGCACTGTAGCCATCAAAGTTCACCATGTAGAGGACATAACGCTCAGTCTTATCTTCTGGGACCGAGTCCTCATAGTGAGGGCAGAAAACATCCAGGTAGTCATTGATACAGACGTCGATGTGGTAGTCACCCCTCTGGAATCTGTTGGAAGAAGAAGACAAAGATGAGATTATTCATAAGGAAAAGACTTTCTGCTTGGAATCAGTGGTGGAATAACTTTAATCATGCTGGTGCTAAGAGATTTATTATAATAAGTTTTTATTGCAGCCCATTATGATTCAGGATATGTTTCTATTCCAAATACAAGCAACAACAATTTTACAGAGGAATTCTATTACGTTTGTTTCAAAACACGCTGAAAATGGAACTCTTCACATTCATCTTAAGTAGTTAAGATACTGACTTGCTGTTTTCCTTTCATTCTTAAAATCACATATACTGAAGCAAAGTTTTGATATTTCAAAATAGTGTTTCATTTGATGAGTGTTTTTGAATGAATGAATAAGTCATTTAAAGAACAAATGAATGACTGAATTGGTTTTGCTATAATTGCGACCATTCTCAATTTTCTATGCAAATGTAGAGAACTAGAGTTATCAAACTGAGAGAATTAGGACCATAAAATTTAAAGGTTGGAAAGAAAAGTCCTAGGACACTTCCCCATTAGAGGAAAATAAAAATCTAAGGCATAATGTCAAAGCAGTGAGTGATTGAGCTCGACCAGGAATGGTGACTTCAGGTCCTAATCAGCTGTTTCCATTAGTGAATCTGCTTACGTCACAAACTCATTTCAGCTGATCTCTTTTGATGCCCCATCCCTTTCTATATTAAGAAAATGAAAACCAGCTAAATCAAATCATCTTCCTCCCCTTCCCCTCCATTTCTTTTAACTTTATAGGTTGTGTCCTAGGGCTGGACTGACGACACAGATGAACACAGCAAACCCAGGACCACTTCCATCCTGAAATAGTTAAAATAACACACACACACACACACACACACACACACACACACACACACACACACACCTCACCTTACACACTGCACTGTCTGTTTCAACTCTTACCTTACAAAAATTTTGAGTATTTGTGTTAACTAATATGTCTTTCCCGATTGGATGAAGAGATTTCTCAGGAACTAATGATGTGTGAAACAGGAATTGTTACGTATACTGCTTTCTAAAGTCAGCACAGAAAAGTCTACAAAACCCCTCTGTTTTTAGCTAGTGAGGAAATTCTCTGAGGCCTTAGAAGATTCATCATAAAACTATGTTACTGCTGAAAGACAAGCTGAAAGACAAGCACCCATCAAGCCATGTAGTCTTCAAGTCAGATGGTCTCAGTGTAAACATGTCAGTGAGCTGGTCTACTCCATTTTTGGACACGCCTACATTTTAGCCAGTGTCCTCGTATATGGAGCATCAATTTGCTTCTGTGTAATTTCTATCCAGTGATCCTACTCCCACTGCCTGACATCGCCAAGAACAAATCTAATTCCTCTTCTACCAGGCACTCCATAAAACATTTGGACGTGTCAACTAGGTCTCTGTATCTTCCTTTCTCACTACGTGAAAATCCTGACTTGTTTGGTTATTTCTGTTCCCAGGCTCCTCACATTCTAGATTCTCAACTCTCCTTATGCTCTCTAGTTTCCCAGTGTCCCCTTAAAATGTAGCCCCCAAACACAACAGACACCTCCAAGAGGCTGTTTTGACCAGCATTCAGCCCAGGAGATATACTACCACCTTCACTCTGGATACTACACATTCATTGAAGAAGCTGAGATTCCTTTCTAAAATGCAACGTGATCAAAGTGGACACTACTCATTTTAGTGAGTAACCTCAATTTAAGGACTGGATTGCTGCTGGTAGGGTGGGGGAGTCATAAACCGTCTGACCCTCAGTTTCCTCATATGTGAACTGGAACAATAATGAGAATCTGCCTTGCTAACCTCACACAACTGCTTCAAGTCTCCGATGATGAAACATCTAAAAAGCACCATGTGAATGTGCAGCACTATTATCAGGATATATTAAAGCATATTAAAATCGATAACTAACACAATACTAACTCTTAAGCAACATCAGTAAATGTATACGACAACACCAACGATAATCCCCGTGTCCCTTTTTAAAAATAATATAAAAATCCTACATTCTGTCCTCACATATCAAATGATCCACAGAAACTTCCATTTGATCAATGCTTTTGAAAAGCAGCATGCTGATTTATACGAGGAGAATAAGGAAAGATGATCTGATCACTTTTTCTGTTAGAGGGTCTCAAAATGCATAAAAATTTAAAAAAAAAACCCACTTGGAAGTATTTATTTCTTTATATTTACAATGATCACGGAACTAGGTTTACTCTTTCTTCATTACTGGCAGACGATGATTTGTCAAGATGCAAGGAAAGCCTGTGTTGCTTTTAAAAGATTTCTGAACATCAAGGTAACATCACTGCCAAAGTACAAAGAAAAGACACTGCAACGTTCAGATAAAAGGGTGCTGGGATATGAATCATCAGCACTCAAAGTAGCCTGACAGTTCTGGCTGAGAGCCAGGCAAGAAATGCAGCAGGAGGCAATGCCCAGATGCACTTTATATTATTATATTATTATTATTATAGATTTTAAAGACATTCAAGGGGGAAGTTTTTCCTTTCCCTAAGTGTCACTCATTTGAGCTTCTACTAGCACCTGACACTGCTTAAAAGTGTAGGGAAAAAAAAATTAAAACTGCCACTGTCCAGACTCATTTGTTTATTGCTTTATTCTACAAATTGTCTGATTTTTTTGATGCCCTGAGTTTACTTTCCCTTTTCCAACTTTTCTCCCTGTTAATGCTGCTTAAGTTTCAATAAAATAATCCATGAGATTGAAGACACATTTTATACTGGGTTGACCTTTTCCCTTTCTGATGACATTATACTCTGTGTGGGGTGTTCAATGAATCACTGTGGAGCCTATTTTGAGTATGTGATCACTCCAGCGGTTAGTAGTTCTACCCCTCTATCCACATGATAAAGATGATGAGTCACCATAGAATCAACTTATGCTTCTGTTTCACATCTTCAATTTGTATAAATTAGTTTAATAATGTAATTTCCCCCCAAATGGACAATATAAATATAAAAAACATCAATAAACAAAAACTCATAAAAGGCATTTCTATAATATACCCAAGTATGATCCAAAGAAAAGTTTAGGGTTATATAGGGATAGATATTACCCCAAATCATGCTCTTTGGCTACAAAGTAGTACTGGACCATTCTTTTTGGGCCTTACTGTGAAAAGGCACATATGTATGGCTAATATAATTGTTTATTATGTTATATTCATTATCTCGATTTAATCTCCATCATAAATCCTAAAGAACACTATAGTATTGGTACTCCCGCTTAAAAATGAGGATACTGAGACTGAGAAGTTAAGCAATGTGCTCAATGTCACCCAACTAGTAAAACGTGGAGGCAGAAGTCAAGCCCAAGCATTGAAACCTCACTCAGAACTGAAGTTCTTTATTATTCTACTTCCAGAGAGAGTAAATTGCTCAAGTCAAGTTCTTAGGTCAACCCTTTATTCCCCCAGAAAGGCAGTTCTAATTCTTGATGGGGTTTCAGTTCTCTCCTTCATTCACTGATGCAACAAACACTTGCTGCATCCAGGATATGCTGTGTTATGGCTTTACATGTGTTGTCATATGAAATCCTTATTAGGTAGTTATAATTAGCTTTATTTGAACAATGAGGAAATGACACTCAGGTTGTTATCCTCTTAGTTCATTTTCCCCCCCCACAGGAAATAAGCAGCAGAGTTAGGATTTCAACCCATATCTTATCCGGCCCTGAAGTAAATTCTCTTTCCTGCTAAATGCAATGGTTCCCAAGTTTTACCAGTTGTTGTAATTCCCCTGACCTGAAGGAGCCCTTTTAAGGGTTTTGGTGCCATTGGGTTCCCTTATGTTTACATTGATCTTCTAGGGAAGTCTGCTGCAAGGTGTGCTGGCCCTGCTCCCTCCCCACTCCATTGGTCCCAAACTCCTAAAATGAAGGGTGTGTCAGCATCCAGAATACATCTCAGATCGCAGGGTTAGCTCCTGACCCGTGTATACCAGTCTGTTCTTTCACAGAAGAAAGTGCTATTAAGCTCAGTAGCTGCTGACATAAAGGCATCTTTTTTCCCCCCATCAGGAAACAGCTTTCATGAACTTTAGTTCCTATTAAAAGAGCAAATTCAAACCTAAGAAGAATGATTCCACATGACAATATTTACAAATGTTATGGGCAGCACGGCCGCCACTTTAAACGCACTGGTAAATTTCTTGGAAATTTTCTTGTAAAGGTCTCCCCTTTATTCCTTCTCTTTAATTCCATCCACTCTATCTGTGGTGCTCTTCCTCTCTGAAATCATTGCATATTATGAAGCGTAAGAATTTCTGGCTCCACACCAACAAGCCAGCAATAATTACAATACAATCTCTACTAAATTATCACAGTGGCTTACAATGTAAAAGTATGCACCGGTACCACACTTAGAAAAGTGATTGCGTTTGAGTAATATGATTACTGCCCTGTGTTCTCATAATACAAAAGTCTCAAATGCCAGGAAACATCTTGTATGCATAGAAAGACAGTCCTTGTTCTCCACTGAGTTGCACTGCTACAGGGCCAGTGTTCCACTTAACATACAATATATATATATACCCTGTTGTAGCAAGAATACATTATATACATTTGCCAAAATTGGACAGTAGGCTGGTTAAGAATCAATGTCATATATATATGTGTGTGTATATATATATCATTATATATATATATATATATATATATATAATGAAAGGGTCATCCTAGTTAATTAAAAGAAGGAAAATTCAGTATGGCAACTAGTTCTTTTTTTATCAACTCAATTACTAAACATGAATTATGCATTTTATGGTAGGTCTTGATGTCCCAGAAGCTGCCTGAAAGGTTGGATATAAAAAGCACATTTCACAGCTACTGATAGCAAAAGTAACAACTGAAGTTGGGATTTCAACTAGAAGGTCTATTTGCAGACATGTGTGTCTTAGTTTGTCTTCAGTGTTTATCTTCAGTGTTTACCTGATGACATGCCACAGCTAACCGTAGTTTTGATTATACC